CGGTGTGGGTGGGGGGGTGGCGGTGTCGCCAACTTTTGAAGCCTGTTACTTCTTCTTGACGGGAAGACAAGCAAAAACCGACCCTTCGGGATTTCACTGGCGCCGCCCCAGCAGGGGTCGGCGGATATATATACATATATATTCATACATGTACCTGTGTATGTATATGTATTTGTATATGTACATGTACATGTACATGTATATGTATATGTATATTTATATGTGGCAGAACCATGTAAGCTACATTCTCCAGGGGGGATGACGACATCTTGCCAGATTGCTATGCCGCGGCCTCGTTTTTGTGGTTGTGGAGCAGTGGTCGCACGGTTAAGGTTCGTAGGGGCTATCAAGTTCTTTCGATGCATCTGGCAGGATTCGGCGTCCGGTGCAGGGAGATGGAACTACCAGGTGTATTGTCTTGCCTGTGTTGCAGCGATTGAATTTCGCGGCAGTGTCACAGGACGCGATTCGTTCACAAATTGCGTTTGCGTGTCACTGTCGCGAGGCTAGGCTAGGCGAGGGCGGACTTGGTGGGGCGGCTCAGAAGACCCATGTCTGCACTGAGCTATGCACAGAAAGCTTGCCCAGGTGTGGTCTACCGTGCCTACGACTGCTCCGGATCGCTTGGTCATGTGGCAGTCAAGGCACCTGAACTGCCGCGTGCTTTGTTGCGGGCAGTGGTCTTGTGAGCAATGTTGCCAACTCGGCTTGACAGGTGCTGAAGCATCCACAGCGCGCAAGGAGCTTAGGTAGCCAAGCGTGCCAGGAGTTCCATTGGATACTGGCCACATCACGCCGTCACATAGCGATTGTGTGCATGCCCAGGCATACTGGGGGAAGCAGCACTGTTTTTCGATGCACCGCGAGAGCCAGTGGTGGACGGCTCAGAAGTATAATTTGCAGTCGCTGGCTCCCGCTCAGAGGTTTGGTTTGTTATTGCGTTTATGTTGCACTTATTGCTGTGTGTGTATGTGTCGTCAGCACACGTGCTTGCTTAGCGCTGGTGTTAGAGCTGCTAGAGCGCCTGTGCCAGAAGCACCTGCCAAGTGTTTAAGTTCTGCTCCATGACGTTGGCTCACTTGGCTCCCGAGGTCCTTGCAGAAACTGCACAACACAAAGGACGGCAGATATTGTAGCGCGCTTACTTGCAGCATGCATACGTAACAGCTCTGTCGCAATCCCGATGCTTCATCGGACATGCACAGGCGAATCTGCTGCCAAATTGTTTGCACGTTATTTGGAGGCTCGATACCAGCGTGACTCCTTGCGAAAGACACAGAGCGAGTATGCCTTGAGACGTGATTTGCGCGAAAGGATTACACTGGCCTGCTTCAAGTCTTCCCAGGCACAATGCAGTGCTTAGTTGACACATGCTGACGCCTGCTTCGCCTGGAAGCGTCAATTGTCGATAGATCGTTGATAGCTGTCTGCTTGGGTGAAATTGCGGTTGCGTGCTGCCAGGAGACTTTGATGCACGCCGAAAGAAGTTTGAGACTCCAGGCCATCCCAGAACATGGTACCATCGCAGCTGGAATCCGGGATAAAAAGGGACTTTTCGCTGTCACGATTGCCGCTCGACACCTTGCAGAACCAGCTGACCGTGTGGCAAGCTACAAAGCATTGCAAAGCGCAATAAGGAGCGAGCACCACGCAGACCACAGGGAGCTGAATCAACCCTACCACAACGACTGGCCAGAGTTACAGCCTGCCAAAATTCCGTGGATGTACGAAGAGCAAATAGGGCCTTGGTGGTACGATGTGTTGCACCCTTACCTAGCCCGCACCTTGCTCTTACCAGGAATGGACTGGGAGAAGGAGGGGCCAGAGCCTTCAGTCGCTGGGTTCACCGTCTCTTCATATTTATACAGCCTATATAGACTAGATTTGCGTCATCCTTGGAAATAATCGTCGTGCACATCTGACTGCGGAGGTCTTCCATCTTATTGGGGATTCTCGTGCACCCTTGGAAATGGGGCACTGCATCGTAACCGGTGCAATCTGCCAGCCTCTGATTCGCTTTGCCGATGCTGAGGCCGACGGTGTCCGTGGCTTCGCCTTATGTGGTGATGGAGCTGGTGGGCCTTGCATGGATTTCGATGGTTACGGACTGTTTGTGGTACTCGTAGAACTCTGGCGTGAGCCAACGAGCGGAATGTCAAAGTTCAGAGATGTTTAGAGTCTCGGCTTGAGCCGTGCATATTGGTATTCAGGTAGAAGGCGAGCCTCTTCATGTGGCGATGGATCGGGAGTGGTGTGGGCCCTGTGGGCCGACTGAGCCCTGCAATGCTTGCAGTGTCTGGTGGGCGGAATTTTGCACTTCGCGGTTGTTTCAGGCGGACTCCGTCCAACCATGCTACAAAGGACAGACATCGCCGGAACGTTCGCTGCAAGCAAACCAACTGAATTATTTCCACAATTAGCAGAACCTGCGCATCAAGTCATGGGTTGTGCTTGGTGTTGTCAGGATCCACCACCCATGTCCGTTCACGAGAAGCGCCAGGTGCAAGGGGCCACGTAACTCTGTTTGCCTTGCCTGCTACGATTCTCGAAGTGTCGTTCTGAGTGCAGGTGCTGCTCCAGGCGGCAAGAGCCCTTGAGTGCCCTGGGTAATTAATGGAGCAGAGTTTTTGTTTTAATTTTTGTATCGTGCTGGCAACGAAGCGATTTTGCGCATCTTTGACCCGATGCTGCAATCTCTTCCAGAAGCTGCCAGCTCTTCCAGTCTACCTGAAGAGGTAGACAGCCAGTGTGCGTACCAGCAGCGATGCACACTTCCTGGTTCTAGGTATCTTGCGACCTTCGGCTTGATACACCGGGACTTCCGGGGCTGTTCCGAGCTCAGACACATCACTTTGTCCAGTTGCCGTGAGACATGGCGACGTAGAAGGCAACATGCACCTGGCGGAGCGCGCGACAGAGAACAGCCCTTGCAAGCTAAAGGCTGGGCTGCACGCAATGGGACCGGATGAAGCCTGCAATGCAATGCATGGAGAAAGTATGCCGAAAGGCCGAGCAGCATTCGCCATTTCTGGGTTGATGACCGCCTCTCACTTGCCGTTCAGGATCGGGGCTAGGCCAGGCCAGGAAGGACTCGACGTGATAAGTCGCGATCATGGCTCCTAGCACTTGGGCTGCGGCGGCTGCGGCCTTGGCAGCACCGGCCATGGCTTTTGTGCCGGGCCAAGGTCAGGGAAGCCTGAGGGCCTCCAGGAACCCTTCGGCTCCGGCTTCGACGGCTTCCTCGGCCTCGACGGCTTCGACGGCTTCGACGGCCTCCGGCGCTTGGGCCACCGCAGGCTTGGCAACTGCTGCGGTGGTGGCCGGTGCAACGGCCTTCCGTGCACGGCCCGCCCCGCGCCGAGTGGATCGCAACGTCGTGGGTGTGTGCTTGCCGCTCACGGACAAGTTTGACCCGCTTGACCTTGGCAGCACAGATGCGAAAATGGAGCGATACACAGCGGTGGAGATCAAGCATGGCAGAGTCGCAATGATTGCGACTGTCGGCTACATAATGCCAGAAATCTTCCGCTTCCCAGGCTGCGAGGACTTCAAGCATGGGCTTGGAGCATTTGAGAGCATTCCCCTGGAAGGCTGGATCCAGCTGCTTGCGTTGGTTGGGGCCCACGAGGTGCTGGTGAAGCCTCGTGAGGGTGGGCTGGGCAGCTTCGATTTCGGCCTTGGAACGGAGCTCTTGGATGGCATCGATGAGGAGGAGCTGGAGCGCAAGCAGACCTCCGAGCGCAACAACGGCCGGTTAGCCATGGTTGCGATTTTGGGCCTCATGTGGCAGGATGGCACCTTCAGTGAACCACCCTTGAGCTACATGAACAGGTACGGCTTCTGGGGTGAGCCGGTGCAGTTCGTAGTCTCACACATTGCGAACTGCCAGTCCTTTGCCGGGAGCTACGTGGACAACGGAGGCCTGTGTGCCCTTCCTCGGGGTCGAACCAGCATGCAAGCCGTGCAGAAGCTGTCCGAGGGTGTGTGGGTGGAGAACGAGACCTACCCCAAGGAGATGGAGATGTCTCCTTCTGTCCCTTTCTTGCGGTATCCTCAGGTCCTCAAAGGCTGGGTCGGCGAGGAGAAAGGTTTCGATCCTCTTGGCGTGACCGACGCACTTCCTGTCTACTGGGTGCGTGAGGCTGAACTGAAGCATGGGCGGATTTGCATGCTTGCGACGGTTGGATGGATCGCGACAGACCTGGGTGCCCGATTCCCAGGCGAGAAGTTCCAGAGCGTGGCAAACAGCATTGAGGCCCACGACAAGATGGTTGAGGCCGGCTACATGCTGCCCTTCCTAGGCGCTGTCGGCACCTTCGAGCTGTTCTCCCTCTGGCTCTTCTTCCAGTCCTGGCCGATCGGTGATGGCATCAACCGCGAAGCAGGGGACTATTGGCTCGGCAAGCAGTTCCTGCCAAAGGATCCTGCCAAGGAGAAGGACATGCGACTGAAAGAGCTCGAGAACGGACGCCTTGCCATGTTCGCCTTTAGTGGCATCGTGACCCAGGCGGTCATCACCGGCAAGCCTTGGCCCTTCCTTTGAGGCGATGCGCATCGTCGCACGGCCGCCTCAGCCTCCTCCGTCTTTTTTTAAAAAGCGGAATTAGCCTCCTGATCGCATCAGTCCGGGAAACTGCTGAATGCAGCGACCCAGCGGTGACTCTTATCGAGGATAAGCTGTTACCTATTTGTTACTTATTGTGCATGGCGGCAGGAAAAGGGCTCTGGCTGTCTTGCGGGCGGAAGAGTGGAATGTCTCGGCTGCAGACTGCATGACCTTGCATGGACAAATATAGGTCTTGGACCTCGGCGTCATGATCACGGATGAAGATTGGCAGCAGCCGTATCCCGAGACCTCATTTTCGTGCGGTGCATTCCACACGTCCCCACCGGGGGTCAGTATCACTCGAACGAGGTCCAACACGAACGATGCTGTCCAGGCACACCTTGGCCTCGATGAAGTGTCTCGTCTACTAGTCATTATCGCCCGGCGAAGGCTTTCCGCAAGCGTGGCGAGACCGAAGAGAAGCGCCGGCGATACGACTGGTGCCATTCTCAGTCCATTCTCTCAGAGGGTCGGCGATCAGCCTGCGCCGTGGACGACGGATTGTTTGGAAATCGTAAGACGCGAGCTGGGCAAACGTGCCCGGCCTTCACTGACAGGCTCCCGTGGGAGGTCCGGAATGCGGCTGATGGCCGAGACCTCATGGTCGTTGCAGCCATTTGTGTCAAGTTAGCCTTTGCAAATGGTGATCTCCTCCCTGACTCTTGGGCCCTGCTTCCTCAGGCCTTGGCCCACCGCTGAACTTTGAGAAGCCAGCTGGATCCTCACTCCTGGCAGGTGGCTTCAGATGAGATGTCTCGCATCAGAGGTTCACTCCTTCGACATGTTCTCCTTGGGGGTTCTCGCTCTGCACTTGACCATCGGACGAACGGAGGCCCGTGATTTATGGCTCGATGCCTTCCCTGCCGGCTTCTTGTTGCAACACACATGGGACGTCCTGACTGCTCCCGACTAGGCGCGCCAGCGCCTCAGCGAGATGGAGCATGCAGGTGCCGGGAAAGATCTCAAGGCGGTGGAGGCGCCGGGCTTTGGTTGGTAGAGTGTAGGTGCACTGTTGCGGGAAATAGGTTAGGGCTCTTGGCTGATTTCATCAGCCTCAGGGCCTCAAGCCTTGCAGTATCTTTTGGCTTTGCATCAGATCTAGGGGACCCTACTTTACTGCTCTTGCCACTGGGTGGCACTCGGCACTCGCATATCAACACGCAGTGCAGGGAGAAAGGGAAAGCAGAATTAGGAGCGGTGTTCAGGCGATGGTCATTGACACCAGCATGCTTGGCCCTGGCCTCGGTATATCCTGATCCCTAAACAACTCGCCGGGGGTGCACCGCCAGCTCTCCTCGCCAAGGACTGGATCCCCACGTGCATTGTCGTATGTTGGGACCCGTCCCGGCCTTCTCCCGTGCCTCGTAGCGCCTCGTAGCGCTTGGGAGATCCGGCTCTCTCAGGCCGCCTCGAGACCGACTCCGAGCGATGTCGTGAAGTCTATCGAGGTCATGACTTTGGACTTTGCACTTCGCCATGCGTTTGCATCACTTCTTTAGGCCCAGCTCCTGCAGCCGCAGAAGCTGCCCAGCGTCATGCGTCCGCATTCAGGCCAGGATGGCGCCTCCTGTAACGGTGTACCCTTTCCCTCTTTCGTGCTTGCAGGTGCCCCTCCGATGGTGCAAAGGTCAGCGCCGCTTCCCCGCCCCTTGTGGCTGGGATATGTGCATGCTCCCAGGTCCAGGGACTGACTTCATAATGAATGCCCATACCATAGGCTCCCACAGTGCAGGACCCGAGCGACCGTTTATGCACTGCAGCTTTATCTTCGAAGCGCATGTGGCCATTCTAGTTCCGAGATTTCACGGAACATGTAGAGACTGTAGAGGGGTTCAGGCTCGATTCTACGACTCTGCAATATCAGTTTTCGCCGCTGCCGGCTTTGGTTCTACAGCGAGGGTCCTGAGGGGAAATCTCATCCCTCAGTACCTCAGCTGAATGATTCAAAGTGCAAGCGCTTTGTTCGCATGTCCGAGTCCGAACTCACTTCCTAGAGCAGCAAGGTCCACTTGCTTCTCAATGAAAATGCAAGGCCAGGCTCGAACCGCGCCGCTTCAACTTGGGCCATGCGGTGTGTGTGTGTGTGTGTGCGTGAAAAACAAAGGGCGTGTTTGTGTCTCTCTGTTTGTGCGTGTGGAAGTAGGTGTGTGTCTCTCCGTTTTCTCTCTGCGCGCGCGCGCGCGCGAGCGAGCGAGCGAGCGAGCGAGCGAGCGAGAGAGCGGGAGGGAGGGAGAGGAGAGGAGAGGGGGAGAGAGAGATAGATAGGTAGGTAGGTAGACAGATAGATAGATAGATACATAGTCAGGTAGATAGAGAGATAGTCAGGTAGATAGATCGATAGATAGATAGATCGACAGATAGATATAGATAGGTAGATGGATGGATGGATGGATGGATGGATGGATGGATGGATGGATGGATGGATGGACAGATGGATGGATGGATGGATGGATGGATGGATGGATGGATGGATGGATGGAAGATATGTGCACGCATCTTGCTAGCTATTCAAAATGCTGTGATACCACTTTATGCCTATATGTGTAGAATTACATGTATCTTTGCGGAGATGCCCCGATTCGTTTGCCCTACATTCACAAAGGACAGGACCCCGACCGCTTCAAAGGTCCAAACAGAAGGACCACCCACAACCGCATCCTACCATTTCCATGGCTTAAGCTAGGCCTTTCTTCCAGGTTTACTACTGTCCTCCGGGGGGTCTGGAACTTAAGTGCCCTTAGAACAAGACTTCAATCACCCTTGGAGTTTTACTGCAACAAAAGTAGACAGTCATGCCGAGGAGAACTTAAAGGGATAGGGGGCGCAGACTTCTAACCCCCCAAACCCTACACCCGAAACCCCGAAACCCTAAAACCCCTAGGGCCCGACAAACCCGAAGTTCGATGCTTCGGATGTAGGGCTCACCGTAGGGGCCTTAAAACAAAAATAGAATAGGGCTTTGGTCTCCTTTATAGCATATGTGTAACAAGGAACCCTAACAGCCTGACCCCTAAACCCTAACAGTTATATTGGTAAGTCTTTAGGCTTCTCTGCTATGCCCAAAGACCCCCAAAGAAGGCCACAAACTGAGCAATAGACGGTGTCTAGGATTTAAGGGGCGAAGGGTTTACAAGGCTTTAGGGTTTACTTGAGTCCCCAACCCTCCCCACCCTTAACTGGAAAAGGTCCTCATTCATGTGATTTCCGTAAACTCAAGGAATACATATTTAAGAAAGTCCATAGTAACAGTTCGATTTCAAGCCTGAGTCCAAATGGTTTGGGACTCTTGGGTGGTTTGGGCTGGTGTACTGTAAGGGCTTCGATAATTAGAATAGGGTTTGGGGGGGGGGGGGTATTTTGTGCTGTTGTTTTTCTTCGGAACCCCCTAAACAGTATTGGTAATCAATTACTGTATTCAGGCTCCTATATTATGAAAGCTATAAATGCCAAAAATTGATACTTCAAACCCATGTATTCGTAGTTTCCCCAGCTACCAGAGCATATGCACTGATTTTCCTTTGCACACGAGAAGGCCCACAAACCTCAACCCTCTATACACCACAACCCCCCCTAAAATGTCTCTGACCAACACCCTCCCTCTAGCCGAACAGACCTACCATTCTTGGGGTTCGTTAGGGTTTAGGGTTTAGGGTTTAGGGTATGATGGTTTCTATGCGTGCTTCCTTAAAAATGTAGGCCTGTTGGGCCGCAGGTAAACCCCATAAGACTCCGGCGGCCCGTGCAACGCGGGAATTTCCATGCAGGATCGCGAAGCTTGCTTCTGTCGCCAATTCTCCCTTGCCAAGCCAAGGCATAGGAAGCGGTGTAGAGTTTAGGGTTGCGGGCTTAGGGTTTAGGCCTTCGGGGTTATGGTCAAGGTTTTAAGTTACAGGGTCCCTTTGACAATTAAAGGCTCTGTCAGTATCGTTAATTTATGAGGGTCATTGTAAGACAACGGACTTAACCTTTACACTGGGGTTTTCGGGTAAGTTGAGATATGATTATATGGGTAGTCCTCTGAATTAGGGTCCCTGTTGGGGTCCTTTTCACAAGGCTGCCGCACTGTATTGGGGGACAAAACGGGACCCTAATGTAGAGAACTACCCACATAAAGAACACCTAAGTACTGGCAATTAAACCCTAAACCCTAAACCCATTTTGGGGCACAAGGTTGGTTGTCCTCGTTTGTACGGTGCTATGCAAAGCCTAAGGGTTGGCAAGCCCAAGGGATGCTAAGTAATGTAGGGGCCCTTCATCATTAGAAGATTGCTTTGGGGTATAATATACTATAAGTATACTAAGGAACCCCCAAAATAGCATAGGCAATTACTCAGGTTCCTATATTACATTTCAAAGTCGTAATTCAAAACCTAGCTTTCCGCGCGGTTCGTCAAGGTCCGCGCAAGTTTGGGTGCTTTCGTTCACGTAGGGCGGTCATGACCGATTTCTGGCAATTCGTGGCCCAGGTAGTATAAATGGCCGTTAGGCCCCACTCTCGCTCACTCACTTGCTGTCGGTTCGTAGCCTTCGTCAGGTACTTCATGACCCTCATGACCCGAAACCCTAAACCCTAAACCCTAAACCCAATGAAGGCGGTGCACCGCCCTCTGTTCCACCAAAGACGAGTTCGGTCGTCTTCGAGCTCGTCCGCCCACATCGCCTTGATGTTGTCGCTGATGCGACGCCATGTGCTGGTACCAACTCTGCACCAACCTTAAGGACCAAATGACCCTTAAAAGTAGTGGCCCTATACCCTTCTACCATGAATCCCTATACGGTATATGACCACGAATCCCTATACCATATATGAACCCTAAACCCTTTTAGGGATTTTTTCGTCCTTAATAAGTTCGTCTCGCAGCTCCACCGCCATCACAGACCCTAGGGCTAGGCCCACTTCCAGTTCTACGCGTAGCGGTCTCTGTTCGGAGCGACGATCAGGCAGCCCAACAACGGAAGCACTGTGCTTCACGCAGGCTCACCCTAAATCCTAAACCCTGAACTAGCCCTAAACCCTAAACCCATTGTTAGGCCCGACACAAAGTAAGATCAAAGTCAGAAAGAAGCCTAGAGAAGGAATCCATCGCTTCACAAAGCCCTACTATGGGGGCCTGAGTAATCATGCCTAGGGTTTAGGGTTTTAGGGTTAAGGGATTAGGGTTAAGGGTTTAGGGTTTAAGGGCCTTGTGACCACAATTATGTAGGGACCATAAGAGAACACTATTACCAGTCATTCCGACCCCTGTCTGTTTCCTAAACCAAACCCTAAACCCTAAACCGTGGGGACACAAAGCCTTGGAAATGGAGCCGGGGGAGTTGGACAATGCGCTGATGGGAGTCGCAGAAATGAGGCACCCGCATCTGGGTCCATACTGTTGATGATATAAATCCTGCATGACCCTTAACTGCATGACCCTTAATAAGGAATATACCGTATATACCATAATTCCCATAGTTTAGGGTCCTTAAGGTAATGCCGGATTTATATCATCAACAGTAGTAGTGCCTTTTTGGGATTACCTTAGGATCCTAAATACAAACCAGAAGAGGGAACTACTGTGGAGCCTATGGGTATGTATAGGCACTGAATACTTGGGTTCAGGGTTCAGGTCTTCGAACGTAAGGTTTGGTTGGGGTACTGCCCCCATACAGGAACAGTCTACATAATAAGGGCTACTATTAAGGGCCCTCTATATATATATATATATCCATATGATGAATATGACTCAACTGTTACTGAGTGGGGGCAGTATCCAAGGTTTAGGGTTTATAGGGTAGGATCTCATTACAATAGACATGAGACAAAATTCATTCACTACATGTGTTGTACTATGAGACCCCTCGTGAGCCCACCCCCTTAACACCCAAATGCCGTACCCGCTCTCGTGCACGCCCAGGAAGAATGCCCTCAATCTTGCTGTGGAGTCCAAACACGAATTATCCAAAACCCGTACTCTTGAGAGTGACCATAACCGTTTCGAGAGCAGCATGACAGTTACCACCGTAGGACTAATAACCTTCTCAAAAGTCAAGTGACAATCTTCATCATATCTTTACTGCTGAGGAGTGAGCATCCCGCTGTCGAGGCTTCCTGATGGTGTCCGCAAATTGCAAGTCTGAGGGTTCAGGGCCTAGGGCTGGGCTTCGCTTAGAAAGGTTCTGACAAAAGTACCATTGGCTTTGAGCTTTTTAGGATTTTCGGGCCTCTGGTTCTGGGTTTGGTACAGGGTTAGGGCTTAGGTTCAGCGATAGCGGCACTACAAGAATTCGAAAGATTCGAGCAAGGCCAAACAATAGTTCACCTAGGTTTTGGGTTTTAGTAAGTTTACCCATAGGCCCCTAAGTAGTTCCTTTTGGGGATTACTTTACAGGATTCTAAACATAAACCACAAAAAGGAACTACTTAGGGGCCTATGGGTAGAGATGGAGAAACGGCAAGGAAGATGGCAACAGCTCTGCCGTAGCGGCTGTTCCAACTGACGAAATCCCATCAAAGAGCTGACAACTTCTAAGCGATCCCTGCAATCCGAAACCCAAACACCTAAGCCCCATGTTAGAGGAACTACAGGTGGGGAGTTTAGGGTATATAGGGCTTCTATAAGGTATATGGACCTTCTATAAGGCTCC